AGGAAGGAAGGAAGGAAGGAAGGAAGGAAGGAAGGAAGGAAGGAAGGAAGGAAGGAAGGAAGGAAAAAAATTAAAATATAAGAGGAACATTGTGGAGAAAATCTCGCAATGTTTCCCTATTAGTTATTTTCACATTAAGTGAAGTAAACAGTTTAAACAATTTTTTACAAGGACAAATATTTTGGCTATGACAACTCTGGATTCACACCCAAAAAAATAAAAATTCTTGCTAGGTACGTGTTATATCTTACAACATTACTTACATATTGCTTACATACCAGGCTAGAACTCAAATTTCCCCTACTTTTCTAATATGAGCTTATGTTTGCTTTTTTGTATTCCTTGACAAATATAAACATAATATTATTTTCATGGAAGCTCAGCCCTATTTTTATAGAAGCTTATGGACTTTTCAGGTAAATAAAACTTTGCATGGATAGTAGCCCTAACTCATCTCAATTGCTGACCTTGGTATCGTGGAATGGTTTGCTATCTGAAAAGATGCCGCAAGTCAACCTTGTTGGGAGAAATATCCTTCTCGGTTCAGTTCTAAGTGGGGGGAAAGACACTGGAAACATGGAGGCTGTTTGGAAAGATGGTTTAATGGTGGACAGGACCACATGGCTTGGAGCTCCAAAGTGAAAAGGAAAATCATATGCTTGAAGATGTTGGGTGAAGGAAAAGAATGCTGAGAGACTCTTGGTTTTATGTCCTCTGTAAGGATTTTAATTTGAACTTGTATTCTGATGAGTTGTCAAACTCTCATGGGGCCATGCAGGGGAAACTCTGTAGGCTGTCCTGAGTCCCAGGCTTGGTTGAGCCTTGCTGGATGATGGTGTAATGAAAGGGCTTTAGGCAATTCCTATTATAGCTCTACCTGCAGTAGATCTTTGCTATGTAAAACAGGCCCATTAGCAAAGGTGGGGGGCTGAGTTTCTGCCTCTTGAGTTTCTACTTTTCTTTTTAGGGGAAATATTCTGTCTTTTTAATATATCCTAAAATATTTCATTTTCCTAGGAGAGGGGTAGGTTTTAAATTCCAACAACCTTCAGCAAAGTTCAAAGAGAAAAAGTTTCAAAACTGGAATGCAAACTGAACAGCATAACCGGTATCTTTTTGCCTCTGGTTAAAAAAAGACACGAGGCAGCAAATTCTCCCCTCCCTTTCTTTGCTGAATCAGGCAGCCTTTGATTGGTAGAGGGTTTTAAAAAAAAGAGCTGTAGAGAAAGGTAATTTTTAGACTCTGGATCACATGATAGGCTAGCAATATATTTCTTTTGCATTTCAATGTTGCAAGCTCTCTTGCCTGGGGGGGTTTCCTGCTCCTTTGATTGGGGGCTCGCCTGAGCACTTGTCTCAGAGCCTGACCCAGAGAACACTTGCAGCCGAGAAAGAGGCTTTTCAACATCTCATACACGTAGTCTTCTTTGGCGGAAAAAGGTAGAAGAGATTATCAGACATTATAATAGACTAAAATCAAATCCAGGATTCAAGCGTAAGTGAAAAGAAATGGATGGTTAACAAGCAGTATGAAATCATCATTAAAGTATTTTCTGCGTGATTATAAATAATGTTCTCTATAAAAGACGGGGGAGGGTAGTTAAAATTACTGTCAAATACAGTAGAAGGCTCTTGACTGCAATTTTCTTTTAATGTTATTATTATAAAATAAAATAAAAATAGCAGTTTGAATCCTAAACAGAATAAATCAAATGTTTTACTGAAGTAATTATGTACAAATTTGGGGTTCAAAGTATACAATCAGACTGTTAAGGTGCAATTATCAGCTAAACATTAGGCTTCTTCCACATCATTGCTAGTTTCACTCCTTAACCTTTGTTTTTGCAAGGCTGTGCAAGACTGAGTCTAGCAACTAGTATTCTGAGTGTCCTTTAGTGAGCTCTCCCATGTCAGCCAGTGGAGGGCACCCAAAGCTAGAAAAAAAAACACTTTGTCTCCATGTTTGCTTTCTGTTTCCCCATATTTTTTGCAAGAAGGCAAGACAATTTTAGAAGGCAAGTCACTGTCAGAGGGATGGCAACACCTTTCAAGGAAGGGAAAATAGGAGAAAGGAGAAGAAAATATCAAAAATAGAAAGTGGGATGAGGTGAGAATTCCCACTGTTCTGTATTAACATACTCCAAATACTAACTTCTGATTGGTCCACACATACAGCACCATGATTGGTCAACTAAACGGCAGTGATTGGTTCGCTAATAATCAACCGCGATTGGCTCAGCCGATCGCAGGAGATTCAAGGACCTGTCATTGGCCGGCGAGCCGCAAGCAATCACTATATGAAGGGCTGCCATGGCTCCAAGATCTTGTACAGATCTATACATGAAATAAAGAGCTTGAAGTACACTGGTCTCGCGTCTCTTTAGTACCCGATCTAACACTGGCTACGAGGGTGGGATCGTGAGACAACGAGACCAACCGAGCACGTGGCGAATCAACGCTGAACTCCCAACGAGATGGCCGGCAGCAATTCGCCACCCGCACCCTTCGATCAAGCAGCTGAGGACTGGGAATCGTACATCGATCGATTCCTCATGTTCCTCGAGAGCAGCAACTTGAAAGATGCCAACGGCCAGAAAAAGAGGGCTGTGTTCCTGACACACTGCGGGCCCACAGTGTTCAAGATGGCAAAAGCACTAGCCAAGCCCCAAGATGTGAAGGAGATGGACTGGACCGACCTAGACCAACTGCTGCGGAACCACTATGCCCCCACCATGCCCAACCTCATCAGGCGGCACGAGTTCTACAGAAGGGATCAGAAGGAGGGCGAAAGCGTTGGTGGCCACCCTAAGAAACCTCGGGGGCATGTGCGGGTTCTCCGACATGGACGAAGCCCTGCAAGACCGCCTAGTCCTCGGGCTAAGGGACCCCATACTCCAGAGCCGACTGATGGCACGAAAGGACGTCTCAGTCACCGAGGCCATCGTCAAAGCAACTGCAGCCGAGGCAGCGAAACAGTCAGCGGCAAAGATGCGGCAGATGAATGATATAGACCGACCAACAACCGCCGAAACAACACCAAACCCGGAAAAACGACCAGAGGCCAGCCAAAAAGCCACCACTACACACCATGGGGACATCGACTCCCGCTCCGAGACCGAGGACGAGGAGGAGGAGATCCATAGGTTGCAAGCGGAATGGGACCGACGAGAACGGAGAGGTCGTAAGTCGGGGTTCCAGTGTGCTAGTTGCGGAGGCGATCATCCCCGTTCAGAGTGCCGGTTCCTCGACACCATTTGCCGGCACTATGACAAACGGGGACACATCGCCAAAGTATGCCAGAACAAAAGGAATCACAGTCCCCGGCGACGAGACGACACCCCCCCAGGACCAGAGACCGACATACAGAGAGCCGGTGGAGCCGAGAAGGAAGGAACAAGCGGCTCAGCGAAACTCAGCGTAAAGAAGAGACCCATCAGACAGTCATCATCGGGCACTCGAACACAATCGATGCACGGAAGATGCATGTGGAGGTAAGCATCGAGGGTCAGCCATGCGGGATGGAGGTAGATTCCGGATCCTACCTCTCCATGGACTCATAGCGTACAATCAAGTGTTTGGTGCCCACCATCCAAAGACGCGAATTAGAAAGCCAGAAACTGACCCTGAAGGATTACCAGGGAAATCAGATTCCCGTGGTCGGGATTGGACACTTTAAGGTGGCCTTCAAGGGGCATACAGAGGTGCTTCCGCTCCACCGTTGTGGATAAAGACCGCCCAAGCCTGCTGGGACTGGAGTGGGTCGCACCATTGGGGATCAAGGTGACTGGCATCAACCACATCGCCAAAGCAGACTGGGAGGAGACACTCATGAGGGATTTCCAGGAGGTGTTCGACGGCGGCTTAGGCAAGTACTGTGGGTCCCCAATCTCCTTCAACCTGAACCCAAATATTGCCCCAATCTGCCTTAAACCGCGGCGAGTGCCTTTCACGCTCAAACCCAAAATCGATGAGCAATTGAATAAGCTCATCGCACAAGGGGTCCTAGAGCCGATAGACCATGCCCAGTGGGAAAGCCCAATAGTCACCCCGATTAAGCCGGACGGGTCCGTGAGGATCTGTGGTGACTACAAGGCCACCCTCAACCATGCGCTGCAGCAGAGTGCTTACCCCGTCCTGGTGGTACAGCACCTCCTACACTCACTGGGGGGAGGAAAAGTCTTCGCAAAACTCGATCTGGAGCAGGCATACCAGCAGCTGCCAGTCAACGCTGAGACTGCTGAGGCGCAAACCATTGTGACCCACCGGGGGGCATTTCTATGCAAGAGACTCCAATTCGGAGTCAGCGTGGCACCAGGGGTATTCCAGAGTCTGATGGAGAGACTATTGCAAGGAATAAAAGGGGTGGTACCCTACTTCGACGATGTGTTAATATCAGCTAAAAATAAAAACCAACTAGAGAGCCGGCTAAGGGATGTCCTACAGAAATTTAAAGACACCGGGCTAAAGGTTAAAAAAGAAAAGTGCCACCTATGCACAGAGAAAGTAGAGTTCCTGGGGTACCTACTTGACAAAAACGGAATCCACCCCACAGAGAAAAAGGTTAAAGCCATCAAAGAAGCCCCTAGACCTCAGAATAAAACGGAGCTGCAGGCTTTTCTTGGACTCATTAACTTTTACAATGTTTTCCTGCCCCAGAAGGCAACCACAGCGGAACCCCTACATAGGCTGCTGGACAAAACAGCCACCTGGTCCTGGGGAAAGCGGGAGGAAAGTGCGTTCCAGAAAATAAAAGACCTGCTAACATCAGACGCAGTCCTCATTCAATACAGCGAGACCCTACCGTTGACCGTGACCTGCGACGCTTCACCCTTTGGTGTCGGAGCCGTCCTAAGCCACACACTGCCAGATGGGAGAGAAGCACCAATCGCCTTCTACTCAAGGACATTATCCAAGGCTGAGAGGAATTATAGCCAGCTGGACCAGGAGGTGCTAGCAGCGATCACCGGCGTAAAGCAGTTCCACTAATACCTATACGGTAGGACCTTTTCCATTATCACTGACCATAAACCCTTACTAGGAATACTGGCAGGGAACAAGGCCACCCCGAACATATTGTCACCAAGGATGACAAAGTGGTCCGAGTTCCTTGCCGCCTACAGCTACCAGCTAATACACCGACCAGGAAAAAGCATCGCACACACAGACGCACTGAGCCACTCCCCCCTGCCCGACCTGGAAGACGACCTGGCACCCACAACATCTATGCTACAAATAGAGACATTACCCAATCCACTCCTGACCGCGTCAGACATTGCCAAAGAGACTAATAAAGACAAGCGACTGGCGCGGGTTTTGAATTGGGTGGAAAAAGGGTGGCCGGAAACCGACAGTGGTGAGCAGTTTAAAACCTTCCGAAACCGGCAGACCGAACTATTCACACAGAGGGGCAGCATACTATGGGGGGACAGGGTTGTGGTTCCTGAAACACTACAAAAAAGAGTGTTGGCTATGTTGCATGAGGGGCACCCAGGCATAGTCAAGATGAAAGCCCTGGCCAGGAGTTATGCTTGGTGGCCAGGGATGGACAAGCAGATTGAAACTTGGGTGGCATCATGCAGAAAATGCCAGGAATCCAGACCAAACCCTCCCTCCGCGCCAATTCTAGAATGGGAGACCCCCAGAGGCCCATGGTCTAGGGTCCATATAGATTTTGCTGGACCCACTAAAGGACACACATTCCTAATAACGGTCGACACTTACTCAAACTGGCTAGAGGTTAGCGTCATGAAATCCACCACCACAGAGGCCGTAATCAAGGAACTAAACAAACTGTTTACCACCCATGGACTACCAGACGTACTAGTGTCAGACAACGGGCCACAATTTACCGCACTATCATTCGAGAAATTCCTGGCTGAACGGGGCATACGGCATGCGTTGACAGCGCCCGCTCATCTGGCGGCGAACGGGCGGGCGGAACGCATGGTTCGTTATACAAAAAACACAATAGAAAAAATTGAAACCGGGGACATACACAACAAAATAAATAAAATGCTACTGATACAACACATAACACCCAGCACGACGAATAAGAGCCCAGCAGAGCTACTGATGAGCAGAAAATTATGATCCCAACTAGACAGACTGCACCCCACATACAACCCCGAGAAACCGCTAGACTCGTCTAGCAGATACCGAATATTTAACCCAGGAGACGCAGTCTATGCAAAAAACTTCACAGGGGACCCGCTCTGGGTACCGGCAAAAATAACCCAGGTAATGGGCCCCCGGTCATACCAGCTACAAACAGACAATGGAAGGAGCTGGAAACGACACATCAACCAACTAAGGTCGAGAACAATCACTGACAACACGGCCAACACACAAACACCACAAACAGACATTAATAAAAAACCAGAGGGGGGGGGAAAAACCCCAAACAGTAATCAAAGAGAAGAAGAAAATAACAAAACACAACCCAAACACCCCCAACCAAAAATAAACCAACAATACTTACCGACAGACAACGTCAGTAGAAGGGAACCCTCGGCGGACGAACAACATGAAGCCTCGCCTGGAAGGGGCAGCCAAGCCAGCTCAACCAGCCCGGAAAGACCAGGTGGGAACAGCGGAGCTGACAACTCGACCGACCAGGTAGACCAGGTGGGAGTTGCAGCGATAGGCCTGACTCACACTTCCAGCGGTTCCATCGACGAGGATGAGAGCGAAAAGGAATCCGTCTGAACCGGTCGAAGACCAAACAACAACTGAGCTGCGCAAGTCAAGTAGGCAAGTACGGAGCCCTGCCTACTTATGGGACTACGTTCCGTAGGACTGAACCAAGAGGGGAGGGGTGTTCTGTATTAACATACTCCAAATACTAACTTCTGATTGGTCCACACATACAGCACCATGATTGGTCAACTAAACGGCAGTGATTGGTTCGCTAAGAATCAACCGCGATTGGCCGAGCCGATCGCGGGAGATTCAAGGACCTGTCATTGGCCGGCGAGCCGCAAGCAATCCCTATATGAAGGGCTGCCGCGACTCCAAGATCTTATACAGATCTATACATGAAATAAAGAGCTTGAGGTACACTGGTCTTGCGTCTTTTTCGTACCCGATCTAACACCCACACCCTTCCAAAGGAAATATTTATTTATTTATCAAAGTTATACAATTCATCTAATTGTCTTGAATTCCTATAAACCAAGTTGGCAACTTTGTGTGGAGTTCAGTTTCCAGAATTCCACAGTGAGCAAGATGGTTGGGGAATTTTGCCAGTTGAAATGCATCTTAAAGTTGCCATGATTGAAAATACTGATATAAACCAATTAATTAAGGTTAAGAAAATTGACTTTTCAACATATGTGGAAGCCCTATAGCAACTTAAGGATGCATAAGAGTAGTTTAGATTTCAGATTATTCCTTGATGCCTATATAAAAAAAATTGGGGGGGATGTGAAATCACTAATTGTTATCAAGTCTTCGTTGGAAAGTTATCTTGACTACTAATAGTGATTATTTTCATCATTATTAAAAGAAAGATAGTTGCACTCTATAAAGGATTGTTTAGCCTACTCAAACCTTACCAGATTTAGTAATGAAGATATCACTGCCAGAAAGAATTCAGGTGACTAGCTCTGTAGTTAGACAAGGACAGGAAAAGAACATCATATTTATTAATGGCAACTTCAAATCTCAACAAATAAATGCTCTTCTTACATATTAGCAAAAAAAATCAGAAAATAAAATATAGGCTGAATAGTCAAGACCTTGTTGATGATCCAAACTCTGTCAAGGACCTTGGAGTACTCATCTCTAATGATTTAAGTGCTAGAGCCCACTGTAACTACATAGCCAAAAAGGTATTAAGAGTTGTTAACCTAATCTTACGTAGCTTTTTCTCTGGTAATATTACACTACTAACTAGAGCATACAAAACATTTGCTAGACCAATAGTCGAATACAGCTCATCAGTCTGGAACCCACATTACGTATCTGATATAACACAGTTGAGAAAGTCCAGAAATATTTCACAAGAGTTCTCCACTCCTCTACTTGTTGCAGAATATCTTATGCCACCAGACTTGAAATTCTAGACCTAGAAAACCTAGAACTACACTGCCTTTGGTCCAATCTAAATATAGTATATAAAATCATACATTGCAATGTCCTATCTGTCAATGAATACTTCAGCTTCAACCATAACAATACAAGAGCAAACAATAGTTACAAACTCAAGGTTAATCACACCAAACTTGATTGCAGGAAATATGACTTCAGCAACAGAGTGGTCAATGTCTGGAATACTCTACCTGACTCTGTAGTTTCTTCCCCAAACCCTAAAAACTTTAACCTTAGACTTCCTACTATTGACCTCAGCCCTTTCCTAAGAGGTCTGTAGGGGGCGTGCATAAGCACACCAATGTGCCTACTGTCCTTGTCCTATTGTTTTTTTTATTTTTCTTATATGTATCCATGTATTCGTAACGTTTTTACTTATACCTATTATCTTGTAAGCAATTGACAAACCAAATAAAATAAATAAATAAATAAAGTATTCAGCTGCAAGTGATTCCAAATTCTTGCAAAAAAATTTATACTGTTTCAAGAATATAAAAAGTAGGACTTAATTTAAAACAAAAAGATTTACTTTTAAGATAGAAAACAATGCAGCCTTTCCAATTTCTCTGGAATTCTGAGGTTCATCCTTGGACAAGTGCTAGCAGGAGGCAAGCCAATTTTAGAGGGGAAAAATATTACAGAATAATTTGTATATTTCCAAATTTCTCACAGCTCCTAAGGAATTTTCAGTAACAGCAAATTATCAACTGACAGGATCAGAATATAGCCCACTGAGTGATTTTTTTGCTCCAAAAGCAACTGATGCAACAAAGAAAAGAAAAATAACCTGATCTCTTTATTTAAAATGAATACTGTGATGATGAGAGCATACTAAACTGGAATATAATCACCCTGAGCTAGTTTCATCTTGAGGACATGAAGTAACAGAGTCCCATGGTCTCAGTTTGCCTTCCTTAAGTTGTGGGGGAACAAGAACAGAAAAAAACAGCTTTAGACAGAAAAGATTGGAACATTCTTTATTCATTACATCTTTTCATTTGTAGCTTGTCTCCAACTTCACAACTGTGAAGCCTGTATGACATCTGGCCTCAATTTCAATTGTAGTTGGTGCCATGTTCTGCAGAGGTAAGTCTTCTAAACCCAAGGGGGAATCTACATTCACTTCTCAAAGAAGTTAAAATTGTCTGGTTCCTCCTGAAATTTAACTTGTAGAATTTCTGTAGTCTACAACAGTCGCATGTAGATAGGTATCTTTTGATATCTAGACTTACTAGTCTTAAGTCTCCACATACCACTTGAGTTTTTTGATGGTACAAGTCTCCAAGATATAAAAACACTGTTTTTCTATATATAGAAGTCTATGCTGATACTTCAACAAAAAATATGACTAAAGAAGACAATGTCTTGAAATTTATTTGTGCTGATATATAGCTGATATACTGATATATTTTATTAAATTTGATATATATACAAATTTAATAAAATGTTGAAATTTAGCTCAAGCATAGAACACCTGAATTGGTGAGCCCCATATGCCCGCAATGTCTTTTTTGTATCTGTTCCAGATGCATTATAAAATTTCTTTTCCCATCCTTTAGGGCAGTGATCCCCAACCTTTTTTACACCGCGGCCCGGTACCGGCATCAGCTGGGTGCCGCGGCCCGGTACCGG